TATACTCGACTATAAGCCATGCTTTCCAGCGCTTTTTAGGTTGAAAAAGCCCTCTCCCCCCCTCAGCTTATACTTGAGACAAGGTTATTTATTATTTTAACTCTATTATTATTATTATTATTATTATTATTACATTTACATTATTTTACTCTATTTATTATTATTATTACATTTATTATTTTACTTTTTCATTACTGTTATTACATTTCCATTATTTTACTCTATTTTTATTACATTTGTTATTCTACTCTCTTTATTATTATTGGAAAGATATGTAAGCACATTTACATTGAAGAAGGTTAGAATAATGGTTTAATCAGAGTTGGACACTCTTATCTTAAATTACAGTTTTATGTAAATATTTTAAAAAATTAATTTACAGTATGGAGTAACCAGGATTCTCATATGGTTTGCTGCAACTGAGTATTTCTTTTCTTCAACCACATCAGGCATGTAGAAATTTTCATGTTGGTCCGCAAGAAGGCCTTACTGGTGCATTATTTAAACTGTTATGTTTATTCATATCATGATCTGATCACCATACACAACATATCCCATATGCATGGGGGTATTGGAGTAACAATAGAAAAGGTTTGCTAGGGTAGACCCTCTTTCACTCAGACTCAGCCTCCCCCCCCCCCGAATCAAACTCAGCCTCCCCCCCCCCTCCCCCGAATCAAAATCCTGGGTACGGGCCTGAACCACATGATTTGTTTTTTTAAAAAATTGCCACTGACATCATTATAAACAACAGCAGCAACAAAGGAAAACTACAAAACTAAAAGCACAGGGTGTTTCTGGATTGATCTATTGCACAACTTTTTTGTGTGTTCTGGGCTCAACTATTTTTATTTTTTTGTGATAAGAAAAATATGAAGGGAGGGAATGGGAGAAGCCAAGAGAATTAAAAATAAATCACAACCATGTCTAGATCTATGGTAAAATTCCATAAATAAAGTAGGAAAGTCTTGTCTTGGCAGCGAATAGGTACGACAGTAGCCTGCTTGTGCAGTTATCTTTGAGCAAAATGTAAATAAACTCTGATCCATGTGAACAGCTTCAGAAATGGCCATAAAAATAATCTAGGCCATCATTGAGAGATATAATTGTCATACTTGCTGGGGGATGCTGAACTATAGTCCAGAGAAGTCACTGTAATGAATAAATAAATGCTGCCTTGACTTCTATGTAAAGAGGAAGTTGCGATATACATAAAATAAACTTTGCCCTTGCCTAGTTCTGACTTGGGAAAGAATGAAAAACATCGGCCAATGTACAATGTGATGTGCATTGTCCTCTACTGTATTGCAGTACAAAAAGAGCAAAGGATTCCATTTATTTTGATTTGGGGTATTTTTTCTCAAAATATGCAAATTTCTTTGCAACTTTCTTCTTAAAGTGGAAGAAAAGAAAATTATTCATTCATTCATCCAAGTGACAATTTTTAAAATGTTTGAATCACTGTTTATTGAGTTTGTGTTGCTGAAATAAGTTCATTGCCTCTTCTTTGTGGTAGGCTCTTCAAAATGAAGGGCTACATTTCAGACAAGTACAACATTGTCAAATCAATTTGGCAAATAGTTGTACCTATGTCATAGAATCATAAGAGTTGGAAGAGACCTCATGGGCCATCCAGTCCAACTACCAAGAAGCAAGAAAATCGCTTTCAAAGCACCCCCGACAGATGGCCATCCAGCCTCTGTTTAAAAGCCTCCAAAGAAGGAGCCTCCAACACACTCCAGGACAGAGAGTTCCACTGCTGAACAGCTCTCACAGTTAGGAAGTTCTTCCTAATGTTCAGGTAGAATCTCCTTTCCTGTAGCCATTGTTCTGCATCCTAGTTTTCAGGGCAGCAGAAAACAAGCTTTCTCCCTCCTCCTTATGTGTTTGATTGGAATTAATGACTGAGAATGTTGTTTAGTTTATTTCCAAATTTCAGAAATTCTTCACAATTATGTTACAAAAAACTGAGTTGCAATAGTAAGCAAAAAAAGTGGCATATGCATCCATCCCTATAAAAATTATCATGGAGTAGTAGGAGGGCAAAGAATCCTAAATGGGATTTTCTATGTTTGTATCTGGTTACTTGTGCCTTTGGCTAAGTTCAGGGACAGTATATTTCAACATTGCCATGATTGAGCATTTTTCTACATACTTCGTATAAGCAGCCTGACGCCATACATTAAAGCAAGGATTAACATTTAAGGCTGCCTTGGGAAGAGGCTTTGGTTTCTAATTTGCCCTATCTGTTCTCCTGGAGGATGGTTTATAACACCTTAGGGACTTGTTATTTACGTAAAGCAGAATCACTGCAAACCATAAGTCCCCAGGGGAGAAGAAATAAAATGTGCTTACTTTTTTCTTTCAAGAAGTCATTTATGTTCCAAAGCATTTCTGCAAGTATGCTTAGTATTCGGAATTAGTAGGTCAGACCAATAATAAACTTGTCACTGAAAGATCTGAAGTTGATTTGTGGGTTTTTGGAAAAACACAGCTCCAAAATCATTTCTGTACTTCAGGGAGAAGAGAAAGAGATGTAGCACTCCATTTTATGTGTGAGGGACAACTTTGGTATTGCTATAAGCAGTTCTCATCGGCCAATATACATAGGGCCATAAAGATATGAAATGTCTCTTATCTCTACTACCTATTACCCAAAGATAGAATATAGAATCCATTCTGCAATTTTTATCTAGGGCCCCTTCCATAGAGCTGAATAAAATCCCACATTATCTGCTTTGAACTGGGATATATGGCAGTGTGAACTCAGATAACCCAGTTCAAAACAGATATTATGGGATTTTCTGCCTTGATATTCTGGGTTATATGGCTGTGTGGAAGGGCCCTGAGTGGTTGGCTATAGGTATATTTGATGAATCTGTTTGGATGGAGCTAGGTGAGGTTAGAACACATATTTGCACGTAAAAAGATCCCAGCTCACTTCCTGATATTTCCCATTTGAAAGATATGACAAAAAGATCTAGGGAATACAGTTGGCCCTTCATATTGATGGATTTTGTATTTACTGGTTTAAATGGATTCAAGTAATATGATCTCTCTAGGTCCTCCAACCGATCTCTGATCAAATTTGACTTTGGAGTAGCACTGGAGGATCTAGAAGTTCCTAAAGAGAACACTATTATAGGCATTTGTTGGTCCTCCAGTGTGATTCCCAAGTCAACTTCTAGTCAAGCATAAACTGTGGCACTTTGACATCACTAGCATTGAGGGCACCCAGTACAGTAACTCATAGCGTCATCCTCCATGGAACTCCTCCTCTAACAGATCATACAGAATCCTTAGTAAGGGGTGTGTGTGTATATATATACACACATGCTTCGGGACCCGGCTTCCCAGGTTATTTGACAAAGGCATTGTTTGTCTGTGCTCCAAGTTTAGTCTAGATCCAATGTTGGCTGGGTTCAGTGGGTGCAGGTGAAGAGGTGAAGCATAGATCCATGGTCCTTCCTCCACCAAACCACACCAAAATGTAGAATAGGTCATGGGGGCTCTGGGTGCCAAGTTAAGTCTTGATCAGTCATAGGTGTGGGTCGCAATGGTCTTAGGAAGTGAGTGAAACTACTCATCCCTGGTCCATTGGCCCACAAACCCCACCCAGACGTAGAGTGGGTTATGAGGGCTCTGTGTGCCAAGTTTGCTCTTGACCAGTCATTGGTGTGGGTTGCAGTGGTCTCAGGAAGTTAGTGAAAGTACTGCAAGTCCCATCATCCATGGTCCATCCTCCCCCAAACCACAACAGGACATACAGTGGGTCATGGAGGGTCTGTGTGTCAACTTTTTCTGGCTTGTGGCGGATTAACTTGGGTTTGTCCAGGACGTCATCTGGACAGGAGTTTCCACAATAAAGTGACTGTCTGGATGCACCCTCAGGAGACTTGAAGGATGTTGGTTTAAATGGAAGAACAGGATCCTTCCAATCGCCTGATCATCCATTATCTGTAATGGAACCATCATAAGACAGCACTCTTTGTAACTAAATTCCCCATAACTCCTCAAAATGGCAGCCACATATTGAAGCCCAGATTTCTTGCTGGCCCTTACCTACAAAATAAAGCAATATTCATATAAAGATACCTCTTTGCTAAACTACACCTTTTAGGCATCTGTGCGTGCTATGCCTACACTTCAAAAATTGTGAAACTGAGTAACGTTTATTGTTTGGGGAAAATATCAGTTTCTGCTATAAACTCCGTTTAGAGACGGTTTTATAACTGAACTGAAAGCTTGCCATGCAGATGTTAATTCCAGGCTGAAAGCATTTGTTTTGTTAAGCAAGATTGGCCTTGGGGGCAGTGTGTTACAAAAAACAAGAATGTATGTTATCAAATCTGTTCTTCAAATCATTAATATGCCAATGAAAAAGAAAAGTCAACGGGGGGGGGGGGGCTTGGGGGGGGGGTGTAGAATATTTAATTCAGCACAAGCCTTTGCAGGCTTCAGCCCACTTTATCTGTAGCGAAACCCATGCCAATTAAAATGTGTTAAGTCTTTAAGGTCATTGTTTTTGCTGCAATTCTCCTGGAAACTAATGCACGAAGTTGCTAATAGTTATGCAGCCATCAGAAACAATCCTGGCCAAACATTAGTGTTGAGTTTAGTTCCCAATCTCTAGTATAAGACATCTATAAGTCATGGGAAAAAATCCATGGATGCATGAAGTTTAGGAAGTAAGATCATTTACATCTGGCCCACCAACAATCACCGCCCAGGCATATAAATTAAACAGTGGAGGTAAGTTGTAGTAGAGAAGTTGAATGGTGGAAAAAGGTTTAAATGGATGGCAATGTACTTGATTATCAATTAAGTTGGATATATTTTTACTATAAAAATGATGGTTGCTTTGGGTATTTTATTTGTAAAACTGCCATACTGTAGTACATTAGTCAGGAAAATAAATGTGTGCAAAAGGACTCTTTATATGTCCAGGCTACAACTGTGTAAGTGATTGAATACTTATGTCTTTCTCTTTCAACCCTTAGGTAATAACTCCAGTCAGGTCAGGACAAGGTTATGTTTATGAGTTCCCTACCAAATACCAGAAGGATACCTATGATATCCCACCAGCTCGTCCTCTCCAAGGGGTAGGTACCTATAAAAATGTCAGCGGGACTGAAATTAATCTGCAGCTGAGGTCCTGGCATTTTGTCTATTTCCTAAGCAGGAGATCAAGTTGTTTCATTCCAACAAAGAAATATATTATCATTCTTTGACATGGCAATCACTCACAGTTAGGAGATAATAAGAGAGGGATGGTTTTACAAACACTTTGGGTATTTAGGTGCCCCAGAATAGAAAACTCACATCTTCTTTCTAAGGGACACAATCCTTTCAATCAATCACACAGAATACCTCAAGCCTCCAAACTGGGAATGGGAATCATGCAGGCTTGCAGATGCAACTCCTCGCAGCCAAGATAGATGTGAACTATGCTGGGAATAGTATCCCAATATAATTGGTAGGTTACATGATATTTATTAATTTACTGGATTTATAAACCACTTTTCCCACCCCTTGGGGGGGGGGGGGGACTCAAAGCAGTGTATAACAAGCAATTGCAAAATTCAATGCCAACATATATATAAATCAAAGAACAATAACTAAAATGATAACATGTAACTATAAATTAAACCTTTAAATCATATTAAACACTGAACATAAACAGACATTGAAAATTAATATATAGAATTAAAAACATCTTAATATAGCATTAAAAACACAAAATCCAGAATCATAATCTGAAGCTGTTCCTATTATCAATTGCACTTATGTCCTATTCATTCCTGCGTTACTTTACTGCCCAAAGGCTTGGTCCCATAGCCATTTCTTTACATTTTTTCCTGAAGGCTAAGAGGGAGGGCGCTGATCTAATTTCACTGGGAAGGGAGTTTCAGAGCCAAGGGGCCCCCACTGAGAAGGCCCTGTCTCTCATTCCTAGCAGTCATGGGCCAGAACCGTTTAGGGCTTTATACTTATATCTGCCCCTAGTCTAAATATTTTTATGCCCAGCAACTCTATTACTCAGGAACTCTGTTTTCTCACATAACAAGCAAAGTGATCCTGGGAATAGCCTTTCTTTAGGGTAATGTTCATGCAATTGAAACTTTTGTCCTCCTAGTGCTTCACTTATCTGGATGATAGGAGTTGTAATCCAACATCCAGATAGCCATTATCCTTCTTTATGGAAAAAGAGTATACTTGTCAGAACTTGGGGAAGCTCTCTTCAATGTCCTTGCTGGCTGGGAGAATTTTTGTAGTTATAGTCCAAAAAATGACTTTTCCAGGGTCTAGTTGTTGTTTAGCCACTTATTCCTGTGGACTGAGGCTGGGAACAACAAATTACACCCATTACACGGTTAAAAGAACATATAAAACCAGTGCATATTAAAATCAAAACATAATTTAAAAATCATCTGGACAGGCCTGCCAGACGATACTTGTCCTTAGTGCTGTTTTAAACTCAGACAGCATATCCAGCTCTTGAATCAGTTCCAGCAGGTCATTCCACAGTCTGGGGGCGGCTGAGGAAAATGTCCCTTAGGTAACATTTGCCATGTAGGGCTGATGTAGCATTTTTCCATCAATTGGAGCAGGACAAAGACAACTTTACCAAAAACAAAATGTTCATTCCTGTGTCCACTGGGGAGGAAAGGGTATCGTGCTCCTGATATCCTTGAACTGTATCTCTCAGCATCCCTCATCATCAGTATTCTGGATAGGGTTTCTGTAAATTGCAATTCAACAGCATCTGGAGGGTCTCGCAATTCCCATCCCTGTCCTTGAGAGAGTTCTAAGAAGAATGTGTACACAGGGATAAACATACCAGTTGTAGCATTGAACATATATGTTAGATTTCCCCCTGGACTAAATTGACTCCTTCGCAGCAATCCAGTTACACAATATATCTAGCAATTCCTTCCAATGTTCTTTATATATCCATGCTATTTCTTGTAGACATCTGTGAATACCACGGCTCCTCCTTTGTTTAGGTCATATCACCATATTCCATAGGAATTGGAACCGAAAGAAACAATGGCTTTGCAGGTTACATGTATGAGTGTTTGCTAACTCATGAAATATCTTAAGACAGTGGTTCCCAAACTATGGTCCTCTAGGTCTTTTGGAGTTCAACTTTCAGAAACCCTGGCCAGCTTGTCCAATAGTCAGGAATTCTGGGAGCAGAAGTTCAAAATATCTGGAGCCCCAAAGTTTGGAAAACACTATCCTAAGGGCCCCTCCACACAGTCATATAACCCAGAATATCAAGGCAGAAAATCCCACAATATCTGCTTTGAACTGGGTTATCAGAGTCCACACCACCATATATTCCAGTTCAAAGCAGAAAATGTGGGATTTTATTCAGCTGTGTTGAAGGGGCCTAAGGGTACACCTACACTGTACATTTAATGCAATTTAGCACTACTTTTACTTCTGTGACTCAATGGTATGGAATCATGGGGGCTGTCATTTTATGTGTCCTCTATTCTTCTCTGCCAAAGACTGCTGGTGATTCACCACATAACAAATCCCTGGATTCCATAGTATTGAGTCCTGCAGTTAAAGTGTTGTCAGACTGCACTATTTGGACAATGTAGATCCACCCCTAAGAAAAAGAACTTTTTGGCATTCCAGTTGTTTTCTAAGATAATCCCCACAATCCCTTACAATTGCTCATTACCAGCATCATTTAATAGAAACAGATGACCAAAACATCAGAAGGGTCTGATTCCTTCTCTAGTTCTTCTGCTTCTCCTTTTCCCTTGGTTCAGCCACATCCATTATGCCTCCAAAGAGGGTTATCTTGAAATCAGCTTCTTTCTCCAACTGCTGGGACTCAAAGCAAAGTGCTAGTAGAACTCTTAAGATGCCAGGCAGGGGAAACGGAGCACATAAATGCTGATCTCAGTGGAACAGAGTGAGGATGCAACCATGGGGTGGGGGAGTTAATTCACACCTCATGAAAATGGTTAGGGATTAGGCATCAATTACCATCAGCAGCTGTGCTCATACTTCACTGGAGAGGGAGAGAGGAGGGGAGTCCACTCTGCTCTGTGAAAATAAATTACAAACGTCAAAGCCTACAAAGGATGGAGCTCTGTGTCAGAGGTCTCATTGTTTAGATTTAATTTTGTGAACTCTCCCAGGCCAAGGCACGGATGGAGTAAAATATATCCCATTCTATTTTTATCCTCCCTGACAAGCCCAGTGGCGTTTATTGCATTGGGACATAGTTAATGTGCTCCTGATCAGTGCTTACATTTGGACTAGTTCATAGATATTGTAGTTTCTTTGGGCACTTCCAGACAACATTAAATCACGGGTTTTACACAGGGGCAAACAATCCCGGCACTTTAGAAGAGGTCCACATACAGACCTATTGGTTGGTTCTGGGATTTTTGCCTTCATTGTCCAGACTTGATGCTTTGGTGCAAAATTTAGAAGCTCCCAAGATGGCGGCCACAGGACTTCTACTGGAAACTTTGGCATTTTTTAAAAACTCAAGATGCGAATATGAGGATATGTGAAGAATCGCTGTAGGGAATCACTGCAAAAGTTTTGAACTTTGTCCTGGCCAGGGCTTTCTCAGTGGCCCCTCAGCTCTGAAGTTTATGGGGTAGGACCACTTTTGTCCAAGTCGGCACTACACAATCAAGGAGAAACAAACACTTTCAAGCCAGGAACAAAACCTTCCTGGCTGCCTGGCCATCTGTCAAGATAGATTTGGTTGTGTACTTGTGGCATCACAACAGGGTGCTGTTCCTGGCTTATACATGGCTGATCTTGATTCCTCTTCGTGTGAAAAGATGTACATTGAATAGGGGGGCACAACTTTGTCCTGGCCAGAGAACATGTGCCCTCCACACGTTTCATAAAGTTTCTGGCACACAATTTTTTTGTGTTCTATTCAAGTGTCACCTTCTTTTGAGAAACCAACCAATCAGGAACAATCATCGAAAATCCAGGAACAAACCTAGATTAAAAAAACCTGTGATTTCCAATTGCAGGGACATACAGACATTCAAACATGTGAATATTCAGCTCAAAACACGATATTCCTGCCCTTGGAAATCTCACGTTTTTTGCCTTTTGTAGTTATTGCTTCCACATTTAGAGGGAACAGCATCTGGCCACCCTCCTGTTTGCTGCAGAAACTCCTGGGATAAAGATACTGTCTGGACAGGCCCGTTGACTGTTGGCCATGATGTCTAGGGGATTTTGGGAATAGTAACTTTTCTCAGCTCTGCTTCTGGTCATTTGGCAAAGCACTGTGTCATTCAGCAAAGTCCAAAAAGAGAGGGATTAATAATCTGGTCCTACCATTTTTCTGTGGAAAATGTCTTTAATGTATTGTCGAAGGCTTTCATGGCTGGAATCACTAGGTTCTTGTGGGTTTTTTCGGGCTATAGGGCCATGTTCTAGAGGCATTTCTCCTGATGTTTCACCTGCATCTATGGCAAGCATCCTCAGAGGTAGTGAGGTGAGGTCTTTAATATGTGTGTGTGTAGTTAAAAAAGATAAGCAGCACAAAGCAAAACACAACCCTCATCCTGTTTGTTACAGAAATAACTGGGAGAATACATGCCAGTTGCTGAGAGAAAGTTGGTAGGCTAGATGAATTTGAAGAGCCCATTTTCATGATGCTTCTCTTTTGCTTCACTTTTAGATCTATGATGTCCCCCCTGTGTCCTTTAAAGCTGCTGGGCAAGCAGCTCAAACAAGTGATGTGAAATCTCAAGGGGTCTACGATGTTCCTTCTCTAAAAGGGGTAAGCCTAGTGCTCTGCCTTTTAGAGCAAACATGTAATTTCATACCAGGGTGAAGGCATGTTGAAACAAAAAGGAAATTTTGCTCAGAAAGAAGGCGGGAGAAAGAGCAGGGAGTGCTTTGAACTCCAGCCCTTTAAACATCACCCTCAAGCTTTTAGTTCATTTATTTTATTTTATTAAAAAAAACAGTAACAGAGATAAACTTTGGAGCATAATTACTAGTCTTATGTAAAGTATAGTCTTGTAATTAGAGTTAAAAGCAACACATATGCAGTTAGCTGATGGTATCTTTCTGCCTCATCTGAGAAGAGTTTGTCAACTTTGGCCCTCTATCAAGAAGTAATTATAGTTGAAGCTTTGACCACATGAGCATAAATCAAAAAGATCATTAGAGTCAGTTGGTATATTTACATGGTACAATAAGCCATTGATTTTTGTTAACTACAGCCTGCTTCTTATGCTGTGAATTGTATGGTAGATGCTGTTTCGAGCCATATTTCAACAAATCTGGTTGTAACAACCTGTCAACAGTTGAACCCTGTGAATTATTATTTATTAATTTACGACTTTTATATGTAGCCCTTCTCACCCTGAAGGGGACTCAGAGCAGCTTACAAGATATACATACATACAATATACTATATTATTAGCATAGTATGGAGCCCCCGGTGGTGCAGTGGGTTAAACCCCTGTGCTGGCAGGACTGAAGACCGACAGGTCACAGGTGAATCCGGGGAGAGGCGGATGAGCTCCCTCTATCAGTTCCAGCTCCTCATGCGGGGACATGAGAGAAACCTCCCACAAGGATGATAAAAACATCAAATCATCCAGGCGTCCCCTGGGCAACGTCCTTGCAGACAGCCAATTCTCTCACACCAGAAGTGACTTGCAGTTTCTCAAGTGGCTCCTGACACAAAAAAAAGCATAGTATAATATCAGTATTAAATATTACTATATTGTATTATACCATTATATTGTAATAATAATAATAATCTTTATTTATACCCCGCCACCATCTCCCCCAATGGGGATTCGGGGCGGCTTACATGAGGCCAAACCCAAACAACAGGTTACAATAAAATAAGATGCAAGTTGCAATAAAATAAACAATGTAGCAATAAAGTATAAAACATATAAGCATATAAACAATATACACAAAATATAAAAAAACAGTAAACCAAACATAATGACAGTGAGCAAGCCGCATGTACATAACATGATTTAAAAAAAAAACCCCTCAGGGTGAGATAAAGGAGCAGAATTATTTGTAAGGGAGAACTCATAGAGAGACAGGAAAATAAACAGACCTTCGTACAAGGGGGGGGGGGTGTACTCCTAGGACAAGAACGTTGAGGGAGCAATAGCATAAGATTATGTGACTACTAATATTATTAGTAATATTACATGTAATATAAATATATAATTATAAAATCATATTATTAGTAGTAGTATTATATTGCATTACATTATAAAATTATAGCAAGTTGAGGTTTAAAGAATCCAGAGCTTATAAGCAAACAATCCATGAGCTCAGGGTATGGTTTGTGGCCATTGAACAAACCATTGTCTTATCAGGAGTGATGCATTCTCATGTCACAACAAGCCAGATTTCAACAAACCACAAGCCATTCCTTCTCGTGATGTGCCAGTGACGTCACTCTGTCAGTATGGTATGGAGAGATGAAACTGAATATAAACAGTCCCTGAGTTATAAACATCCGACTTACAAACGACTCACAGTTAAGAGCGTGGGTGACAACAGGAAGCGAGAGAAATCTATTCCTTGGAAGGGAAATTCACTCCTGAAAGAGTTATCATGGGGGAAAGGTGTCTCCACTGAAGGTTTCTCACCAATCCTTGGCACAAATACTCAATATGTCCAAATGTGAACACTGGTGGAGTTTGGGGGGAAATAGACTTTGACATTTGGAGTTATAGTTGCGGAGATTTATAGTTCACCTACAATCAAAGAGCATTCTGAACCCCACCAATGATAGAATTGGGTCAAAGTTTCCACCCTGAACCCTCATGACCAACAGAAAATACTGTGTTTTCTGATGACCTTTAGTGATCCCTCTGACATCCCCTCATGACCCCTTAGGGGTCCTGACCCCCAGGTTGAGAAACAATGCTCTATCGGATAAAAATGGTGCGTAGTATGGTGTACCTGACCTTGATAGTACTGCACCTCAACAAACTTCGCTTTTATATAGTCAGCATACAAGACATAACTTGTTACAGGGGAATTGTCAAGATCAGGTGGACTATGATCTTCCATCCCATGTCAGTGTTGGTCTTCCTGCTACTGGGATACTGCCTCATAATGATATCCCAGCTTGTGTGATTTTTATAGATAGGTTGTCCTAGAGGGAGTGTGCAACAGGGCAATACTTGGCCAGAGATCATGTCACAGTAATAAAATGTCCATTTGTTTTTACTGTAAATATGTTCTGTATATGGAGGGAATATCTATCATCATAAGTGACAACTAGGCATGATGGAAATACATTCTCTCATACATTAGAGATAAGCATGCCTGTATACATTGACTGATATACAGGAGCTGGCAGGTATTTTTGCAGTCATGTCCTGGTGATGAACTTCCCATACACATCTGGTTGGTGTCTGTGCAAATAGAATGCTTTCTTGGCTGTCGTCTTGATCCAGCCCATCTCTTTTGTCTTCTTTGGCAAATGTCATCCTTGAGAAATGACTTTGAATGACACCTGTTTCTCCTTATGATGGCAGGTTTGCTCATATCACTCATAGCATTGCATTTTATGTTCCAGACCTATGCCATTCCCCCTTCGGCATGTAAAGATGATTCCAGAGAATGCTCACCAGATTCAGGAGCTTGCGTAAAGCATGAAAAAAGACCGGAGGGTGTGTATGATGTCCCTCCCCCCACACCCAAAGCAGCTACAAAAGAACCCGGGCAAAAATGTTGTTGCAATCCACCCATCTCTTCTAACCTATCACCACATCCCCAAGATGTCTATGATGTCCCTGTGAGCCACCAAACTCAGTTTGTGGGACAGCTGATTGCTCCCCAGAGTGATGTCTATGACACTCCCAGAGGAGTCCCGTTCCCTGTGCAGCCCTTGGAATTTGGAGACAGTCTAAATCCTGAATCAAAAGAAGGTGTGTATGATGTACCTCCACAGGTCAGTCAGGACACTAAAAAAATGCAGGATGTGACTGATGGGATGAACAGGTTGTCTTTCTCTAGTACGGGGAGCACAAGGAGCAATATGTCCACATCTTCCACCACCTCAAAGGAATCATCATTTTCATCCACTCCTTCTCAAGACAAACGATTAGCACTGGATCCTGACACAGCCATAGAAAGACTTTACTGGCACCAGAACACAGTGGAGACCACTGTCTCCAGTTTAATGGCCCTTGTCACCCCTGAATGGCGGTCTTACGAGTACATGGAAAAGCACATCAACAAGATCCACACTGCTATTGACAAGGTGGAGCAATCACTAGTTGATTATCTTCATTTTGCGAAAGGGGCAACAGCCAATGCTTCCTTCCTTTCAGAACTCAGCCTCCACAGTAAGCTGAGGAGGGAACTGCAGAGACTGGAAGATTCCTATCAGATTTTGACCCAGACTAGCCAAGACCTCAATAACTGCAGCTGGTCCTTGAATGTCCTGGCCCGCAACAAGCCCCAGAACAAATGTGATGACCTGGATCGATTTGTGATGGTGGCACGGACAATACCGGATGATGCTAAACAAGTGACCACCAGCATCGGTATCAATGCTGAGGTGCTCTTCAAGGAAGGGCCTAGCAGCTCCTACACAAAGAATACTTCCGAAAGCATGGGGCCAGCTGTGGATTATGTGTATGACAATCCTCAGGCCCTGATGTCTCAGCCTGGAAACAAGAGCCAGGACAACTGCACTTCTTTGCCTCCACTTCTTTCTAAAGGCCAACATTACCAATGCAACAGCAGCGATGGTTCAGAAAAGAGCTGGATGGACGATTATGATTATGTGCACTTGCAGGTGAGTTCTATCTGGCTACATCAAGCCTACTCTGTTATTTTTATTTCTCTTAGATCAGTGGTTCCCAAACTTTGGTCCTGTAGCTGTTTTGGACTTCAGTTCCCACAATTCCTAACAGCTAGTAAACTGGCTGGGATTTCTGGGAGTTGAAGTCCCAAAACACCTGGTGGGCAAACGGTTAGGAACCACTTAGATGCTTATAAGCAGGGTTCTTTTCTGCCTACCTACTAATTCTTATTCCTTTTCATTCAGCTTTAGCTTTAGTAAATCCCATACCTTAGAAAAGTTACTTTTTTGGACAGCAGCTCCTAGTATCTATTAACTAGTATGTCTTCATGTGAGTCAAGTTGTTGGGGTTCACCTCTCTCTTATGAAATAAGCAACTTATGGCCTACCAGATATTCTAGAACTATTTATTTATGATATTTATAGCCTGCCTTTCTCAACCTTATGGCGACTCAAGGCAGGTTACAAGTTGGCACAATTCGATGCCACACATCCATAAAAGTGCAATTAAAAACCATCAACATAGCAATATAAAAACATAAAACCATTAAAACATCTAATCATCGGTGTCATCTTGTTAAAAGCGTATGCAGTAATGTTGTCTAGCCATTCCATGTTCATCAGTTCATAGTTCCATGTTATCTGTTCCGCTGCATTCTCAAAAGCTTGCTCAAAGATCCAAGCTTTTCACTCTTTTTGGAAAGTCAGGAGGGAGGGGGACAATCTAATATCCCTGGGGAGGGAGTTCCATAGCCGGGGAGCCACCACTGAGAAGTTAATTTTTAGTTTATATTTAATTTATATTAACTTTATATTAAAGTTTATATTAAAGTTAATAGTTAGTTTCCATCATTCCTCACAATGGGCTATGCTGACAAGGGCTGACCCTAGTCCAACAACATCTGGAAGCATAATAGCTTCCCTGGCAAGCAGGATTGCTTGAGCTGAAACTGTCTTGTCACTTCTTGGCAAAAGTGTATAAAAACTATTTCACAGCTCTCTGCATACCATAACTGCTAGCAGTGTGGACTTAGTATATCTGATAACAAGTGGAAAAGCTATGGAATGTGGGAATAGGGTCAAGCCATCCTGTCTCGGCCCATAGTAAACTGAACAAGAACATGTCCAAATCTTATTTCAACTCTTTGGTCATTTCACTATGCTGCGTGTCTTCTGATGCAAATTTCCCAACCCGCTTCCCCAAATCATGTGGTTTGGGGTTGGGGGGCATTACCCAAACTGGATGCAGTCTTCTAGCGATTATACCATCACCACAACAACAATAATAGCATGAGGCAAGAAACCTAAACACAGACTTCCCTGCTTTCCTTGTTACTGACAAGCAATTTTTGTTCTGTACAGTTTTGTTTATTAGGTTCAGTACTAACCATGAGTTCTTACTGTTCTCATACATTTTTGTCTCCATGTTTATTTAAAAAGTAGTTTGAGAACATAAAATATCTGGCTGTGCAATAAAGAAGTTAATAGGTTGGTTGTTAACTTACTCGTATGACATAGCTTCTTTTTCTAAAATGATATCTATCCAGGGGAAGGAAGAATTTGAAAGGCAACAGAAGGAGCTGCTAGAAAAGGAAAATATCATCAAACAGAACAAGATGCAACTGGAGCATCATCAGGTAAGAGATCAAAGAGGCAGCACCAAAAAGGACTGGAAAGGAAAGGGAGAGGCAAAATTAAAGCTGTGCAGAATATTCACAGGACTGTCTCTTTTGATAAAAAAAAGGACCACAGCAAAATACTGTTGAAATAATGAATAGATTAACTGGCCTAGACTATGTCAGACTCTAGGTATTCTGGACGGCAACTCACAGAAACCTGAGAAATGCCGAGAGTTTCTGTACATCAACATCCAGAAGTGCCCCAAACCTGGCCTGAAATAAAGTTGGAAGCATCTATTGGTCATTTTGAAGTCTGATTTGCAACTATTGCATTTCATAGTTGTGCCACTGTAGTGTCCAAAAGCTGTAATAGCAAGATACCAAAACTTACATTTTAAGTTGCATACTCCGAAATGGTCATTTCTGAGTTGCTGGAGAATGACGGAGTGGGCGATGATGGACCCAGCCCTCTTTGTCTCACAGCTACGTCACCTGATGAAGGATCTCAACTAGTTTTTAAATATGTTGTGTTTCTGAGCACCACAAGGTTCATTCAGACATGTTTTAATCTGTCAGGGACCCTAGTCTTGTGAGCATTCATAATGCCTGAGTTTGAGATTCAAAGGAATGCTACTGTGTCCAATATTGCTAGTATTGCACTGGCATTGATTCCCTTGCTTGCCTTTCAGCTGAATCAGTTCCAGTGGCTGGAACAAGAAATCACAAAACCTGTGGAAAACGACATCTCAAAGTGGAAGCCACCTCAAAGCCTTCACCCTGTGAACAGCCTGGTAGCCTCCCAAGAAAGGCAGTTACTCTTATTTTATTCGGACCAATGTGAGACTCATTTCATTTCCCTCTTAAACGCCATTGATGCCTTCTTCAGCTGCATTAGTGCCGCTCAGCCACCAAGGATCTTTGTTGCCCATAGCAAGTTTGTCATCTTGAGTGCCCATAAACTGGTATTCATTGGGGACACTCTGAGCCGGCAGTTAACAGCTCAGGAAATACGCAATAGCATCATGAACTCCAGCAACCAGCTTTGTGAATTGCTTAAAAGCATTGTCATGTCCACCAAGGTGGCAGCCTTGAATTATCCAAGCACATCGTCCCTCCAAGACATGGTAGACCGCGTGACTGAACTTTCCCACTATGCACAGTTGTTTAAATGTTCCTTGGCACACATGGCCTCTTAGTGAGGTGTGCAAAATGGACTCCAACCCTATGGGGAAAAAACTAATGCTTAAGAAAAGAACTGGAAATGTTTTCTATATTGTGTTTTAAAAAATTAAACGTGATCATTTATTTTTTCCCCTAGATGTTTTATATCAAATATTTTAAATTCATTTTATGGATTAGAAATTATAAAATTTTCTAGCAATCTCTGTCATCTCTTTATCAAGTTAAAATATGCATATATAAATATGAAATGATATTCTGCACATATGTATATTTTGTGACATTCCATAAAGTTCCTTTAGTAAGCACCTTAACGAAAATATCCCATCAGTTTGGTGTATATGTGGCCTGGAGTTTTCAGAAAATCCATTAACCGAATACTACTATTGCATTGGGGGAGGGGTTTATAGTATGTACATATATATATATACAATATATATATTATTTTAGTTTAATTATCCAAACAATGTTGTAAAAGCTGTGGCAGTTTTTAAATATTATTATTTTAGTCCCAGTTGCCTTCCCAAAACAAATCCTACTTGGCATAGGTTGCTATTAAATAAAACTGAACTGACTTATGCTAATGTACTGCTCATCTTTTTTTAATCAAAGCACATTTATTTCTACAGAATTCACTTCAAAATGAGCCACACAAAACAGCAGTTTTTCATTCTACTTTGTGTTCTGCAATTTTGCATTGTATAAACTGCCTTTTTGGTACAAGAATTAATCACTGGAATGACAGATGAATTGTACTGATGAACATGTCACCTTGTCCCGATTCCATTTCAAAGTATATATGGGAGATATGTACAGTATGACCCCCATATCTGTGGAACCAATATCCATGGTTTCATTTGCTCATAGCTGACAAGGTATGTCTTCTCTATGCATTTCCCAGGTCCTCCAGCATAACTCTGTGCTATGCTTTCACCAGAAGTTGTTCATTCAACAGGATTCAATATTACTGTTTGGAATATCTACATAAAATATAGGAATGTATACTCTGGAATTTGGATACAGAGCTCATACTATATAGAATCATAGAGTTGGAAGAGACCTGGTGGACCATCCAGTCCAACCCCCTGCCAAGAAGCAGGAAAATTGCATTCAGAGCACCCAACAGATTGCCATCTAGCCTCTGTTTAAAAGCCCCTGAAGAAGGAGCCTCCACCACACTCCGGGGCAGAGAGTTCCACTGCTGAACAGCTCTTACAGTTAGGAAGTTCTTCCTAATGAAATCTGCTTTCCTGCAGTTTGAAGCCATTGTTCTGCATCCTAGTCTCTAGGGCAGCGGAAAACAAGCTTGCTCCCTCCTCCCTATGATTCCCCCCTCCCCCATGTTTATACATGGCCATCATGTCTCCTCGCAGCTTTCTCTTCTGCAGGCTAAACATGGCCAGCTCTTAAATCACTCCTCATAGAGCTTGTTCTCCATACCCTTGATCATTTTAGTCGCCCTCCTCTGGACACATTCCAGCTTTCCAAGGTCTCCCTTCAATTGCATGCCCAGAATTGGACACAATATTCCAGATGTGGTCTGACCAAGGCGGAATCAAGGGGTAGCATGACTTCCCTGAATCTAGACCAGGCATGGGCAAACTAAGGCCCAAGGTCCGGATGCAGCCCCCTGGGCTCTTACCTCAGGCCCTCTTCATTTTCCCTGTCCTCTCAGCATAAGGATGCGGTGGCCTACCACATCCTTATGCAGAAAGGGCAGAGGGAAGGCATGCAGCAACTGAGAGGCCTCTGGAGCACTCGCAATCACTGCGTGTCTCACCTTCCTCCTGGCATAATGCTGAAAGGACAGCCCAAAGATTGGGGGAGGAGGATCATGGCATTTGCTACATCTCTAGTTTTCCTCCTTGCATAAGAATGAAGCAAGGAATGAATTCCTAGCTAGTGAATTCTTTCTCATTTTAAATTTTGACACATCTCTTTGATGTTGCTTGGTAACATCAACCGTATCTCCATTATTATCCATGAAGTGGTCACGGGTACGCTCCTCTACTTCTAGCAATGGCCTGGCAATTGGATTCAGGCCATTGTTTCCATTTTGGACAAGGTAGCTATAACCGCTGCCTGAGATGCAAATTCAGCGTGTCTTTTTAAATATTTGCACTTTATCTGAGGCTACTAGCTGTCTGCTGCCACGCGTTGCTGTGGCCCTGTCTGGTTATCTGGAAAATAAAGTAATGAGAAAGTGTTGGTTTCTAATATATGTAATTTATTTATGGTTGTGGGTAAGCAGTGTTTCTTCTTGTTTCTTTGTCATTGTTGATGTGGTTTCTGGAACATGCAACATATAATTGTCCTTCTTTAGGAGTCCCTTTCAAATCTATGATACTATATCTCTCTCTGTGTGAATTATATATATCTATCTATATCTATGGCTGGATGGCTCTTTGTCAGGAGGGCTTTGATTACGTTTTTTTGCCCTGGAGAAGGGACTGGATGGCCTTAAGGCAGCATTTCTGTTGATCATGGGAGTTCTCTGTTTTCTCGTTGGTGTGGTTCACAATGGTCTTTGATTGTAGATGAACTATAAATCCCAGTAACTACAACTCCCAAAAGTCAGGGTCTTTTCCCCAAACTCCATCTGTGTTCATATTTGGGCATATGGAATATTTGTGTCAAGTTTGGTCCAGATCCATCATTGTTTGAGTCCACAGTGCTCTCTGGATGTAGGTGAACTACAACTCCCAAACTCAAGGTCAATGCCCACCAAACCCTTCCAGTATGTTCTGTTGGTCATGGGAGTTCTGTGTGCCAAGTTTGGTTCAATTCCATCATTGATGGAGTTCAGAATGCTCTTTGATTGTAGGTGAACTATAAATCCCAGCAACTACAACTCCCAAATGACAAAATCATAATTTTTGAGTGATGGTCACTCCTTGTGTTGTGAGACGTTTTGCTTGCCAAATTTGGTGTGATTTTGTTCATTGGTTCTTTTGTTTTTAAGGTACTCATTACACACAGAACATTTATATATACTAAGTCTCCCATTGGGTTTCTATCAGAAGGGAAAGGTGGGACTAAAAGCATCAATGGAGTTTCAGACTTTTGATTCTCCTCCTGCTTTTATATGACCACAGTAACTGCAGAGTCAGTTGTTTTGTGGATTAAACAATAGGTATGCCTGCAGTGTTCAGTCATTACAATATGGAAGACTCAGTGGTTTTCTGTCTTCCGTACTTTGTGATCATTTGGACAAAGATCTTTTATGCATCTGAGGTACTCTTGCCATGTCTGCTTAAGCAGCACCTTGCTGCTAACTAAAGGTTAACGGCTCCAACCCTATGATATTGACTCAAATAATGCCTTCTTGTTCTGCACAGCACAGCATGCTTAATTTCATCGTTTGCAGTGTCTCTTTCATGCTTACTAGTGCTAAACATTTCAGAGCTTACCCAACAATCCTCTACAGAAGAAAGTCCCACTGATTTTACTAGAAATTTGTTCCCAGGTATATGTGTTTAGGATTGCTACCTTCCATGCCTAAGAGGCTAAAGGTCTTCAGTATCAGATTACAAACTTTTATATAAGGCATTACTAAAACAGATTGCATCTTTTGGAAACAGCTTAAAAAGCAAAAAGTGTTGGAACGTAAGAGTAATGTGATCTCTGTTCACTTGTTAAAGATGAGGCTCTAGCAGGGTGACAACTTTGCACTGAAGCTGAGGGAGCCTCAGTCCCCCAAGAATTGCTCCAAGCCCTACAGTTGTATCTGGCATAAGCTCAATAAAAAGGGAGACAGGCTCATCTCCTATTACCAGTAAAAAAAACATTTTGCAAAAAAGAAGCTACGCTTCCCTCAGAAAAAAAGAAGGCTGAAGGTGTATTTTACAAATGTTTGTCCTTTGTTCGTAACATATAATTTATTTATTTAACATATTTATACCTTGCCCTTTTCAATCCCAAGCTTCTGCCAACCTAGCAGTTCGATAACATGCAAATGTGAGTAGATCAATAGATACCGCTCCGGCAGGAAGGTAACGGCGCTCCATGCAGTCATGCTGGCCACATGACCTTGGAGGTGTCTATGGACAATGCCGGCTCTTTGGCTTAGAAATGGAGATGAGTAACAACCCCCAGAGTAAGGCACAACTGGATTTAATGTCAGGGGAAAACCTTTACCTTTACTATAATTAAAACAAACATTTAAATTAAGATTGAAATCAATACACATTAAAACTGTCCGTTATTAAAAACTCACCATCCACAATCATAATCCGGGGCCATTGCACATATCCCATATCCTTCTATTGCACTTTTCCAAAAGCTTGATCCCAAAACCACATTTTCACTCTCTTTCTAAATGCCAGCCAGGAGAGGGCAGATCTAATCTTCAGTATCATTGAAGTTGTATGTAAATGAAGGATCTGGCCCAACAAGTACAACTGTTCTGTGTTTTTTTTTGGGGGGGGGGGGGTAAAACTGTGGGTAACAGTGAACCCTGTTGAATTAATGACTTTTGGTCAAAGCATACCATAGAGCAGGGGTCCTCAAACTTTTTAAACAGAGCGCCATTTGCAATTTGAAAAAAGCATGAATGAATTCCCATGCACACTGCACATATCTTATTTGGAGTAAAAAAAAAACCCACTTTAAACGATGCAATAATTAAAATGAAGAACAATTTAAACAAATATAAACGTATTGATATTTCAATGGGAAGTGTGGGCCTGCTTTTGGCTGATGAAATAGGATTGTTGTTGTTGCTGTTGTGTGCTTTCAAGTCATTTCAGACTTAGGTTGACCCTGAGAGAGGGCTGCGTAAATGACCTTGGAGGGCCGTATCTGGCCCCTGGGCCTTAGTTTGAGGACCCCTGCCATAGAGTCATCCTGGAGGACCAAGGAAACACTTAGAGAAGACACATCTTTAGGCATTGCTAGAGCTTCCAGAGTCGTCATAGAACTGCATGGAGGAATTAGAAAATATGTAGAAAGGACACATTTTGTCAGACGCACGAAATAGAACTGTAATGTCTTGGTCCTGCAGAAAGAGGGATTGTAATGTAATTACAAAGTGAGAGCCCTTTCACACACTCATATCCCAGAATATCAAGGCAAAAAATCCCACCATATCGGCTTTGAACTGGGTTATCTGAGTCCATACTGCCATATATTTTCCAGTTCAAAGCAGATAATATGGGATTTTATTCAGCTGTGTGGAAGAGGCCAGAGTTCTACTGATATCAAGAAGGTTTAAGTATTTGGGTACATTTCCGTTTCAATTTCATTGGATTCTAGCTCCCTTGGGTGCCTGCAGTTGAAGAACCTCTAGAAATGTCTGATGCCTTGCAGGATGAAAAGGCCCTGAACCGCTAGAAATCCTATGTGATTCTTTTTTTTCCCTATTGGAAGAAAAATGTAACTCTGCATATCTATGTTTGTATTCACCATGTGAATCCACAGCTCACATGAGGGCTGGATGTGCAGCATGACATTAACTGAACTTCCTCCCTGACTGAGTTAATTAGTGCAAACTTTTTTTTTTTACATTTTGCACTTTGTTTACACCAACTGAAGCAAGCTGGGGACAAAGGGTGAAAGTGGAAAGAGGTGAGAGGAACAGGCATTT